TTTTTTTTTTTTTTTTTTTTTTGGAGAAAAGGACTGGGGAATAGGACAGCGCCTGAGAGACAGGAAGGGTCCCAAATGGGTTTCCCTAAATCATTTCTTTAAATGGCTCTCAGCTCCTGCTGTCCTTCATTTCCCCCGGTAAATAAACTCACATCAAGTAATGTAATGGGCTGAACTGGGACGCCCCCGTTCATATGTCGAAGTCCTCTGCCCCACTGCCACCTCTGAAAGTGTTACTGGAAATACGACGTTTAAAGAGGATTAAATACGCCAGGTCTGGTGTGTATGCCTCTAACACCAGCTACTCATGAGGCTGAAGCAGGATGCACAGAAGTTTGAGGTCATTCTGGGGAATTCTGTGAGGCCCTCTCTCTGAAAACAGAGAGAGAGAGTGCTTGCCTAGTGTACGGGAATCTCTGGGTTCCAGCCAGAGATTTTTTTACCACGAAAAAAAAAAAAAAAGAAAAAGGTTATGTGAGACTGTTAGAGTGGACCCTAATCTAATGTGACTATTGACCATATACAAAGGAGAGGTTTGGACGGGGATATGTGCGTGCACAGACGAAGGACCATGTGAAGACAGCGTCTGCTAACCAAGGAGAGGCCTCAGCCCCAGTAACCCCTGCGACACCTTGATCCCAGACTTCTAGTCTCCAAAATGGAGAGGAAATACGCTGCTGCCGCCGAAGCCACCCATTCTGTGGTATTTTGTCATGGAGCCCTAGCAAACTAATATATGCAGGAATCAAAGTTTCGCTTCACTGTCCTCAGAAGTCTGATTTGATTTGGTTAGTGATTAAACAAGTGCAGTTCAAACACTTACTGGGTTTACAAAATTTTGTCATAAGTTCCAACTTTTAAAAAAAATGAGGTTCTAATGAAATTGAGACAGAAAGCAGAAACTGAAGACTGGTTAACAATTTCCAAAACATGTGCTCTCCAGCGTTCTTAGAGCTCTGTTTTCCTTCGGTCGGAAAAGCTGTGTGGTACTGGGAATGTACCCAAAAGCTGAGGAGCCCTGGTGTCCTCATTTGTAACTCCAGGGAGCTGAGCGGGTTTCTCATCCTCCGCAACTCTGAAAGCCATTAACGCGAAGACGCGAAGCTCTGGACTTGTCCGCCGAGGGCCCACCAGCCACGGGCGCGGGACTGGCACGCAGAACCCCGGCCTGCGCTCTTCCCCTTCCCCTCCCCAACCTCCCTTCAGCCCTCCGAGCTTACATCCTAGTGAAGAAACGTAAGCAAATAAAAAGAATCGAGTCAAATGATAGCACAGGGGCCCAGGATACGGCTCCGTGGCACAGTGCGATGCCCAGTACCCAAAACCCCAGAGTCGCAGCTGGTAAACAGTGCGCACAGAGGGTAGAAGAGAAGGAAGGAGGCGAGAGCCGCACGCCGAGTTACTCGCGCAGTCCCGGCGTTCCGGGCGCTGCGCGGCGGGTGCAAACGCCGGCCTGGGCATCTCAGGCGTTTAGCAAGATCCCACCTCAAAATTTAAAAATGCCATAAAGGTCTGGGGGTGTAGCTCGGGGTGAAGGCCCTGGCTCAACCCCCAGTACCGCAGAAGAAGAACGGGGAACGGGCGTGAAAGACAGGGAGCAAGAGGGAGGCGGTGGAGTCCGGGTCAAGAAGCAACTGAGAGGCAAGAGCGCGAGGAGCGGCGCCAGGCGCTATCGGGAAGTGAGCGACCGGCCCGCGGCACCTGGTGCGCAGGCGCACTAGGTCGCAGGAGGACGCGCGCTCCCGGCGAGTCTCAGGCGCATGCTCGGGGGCCCGCGCGTGCCCGAGCCTAGGGGCGCGTACGTTGTCCGAGGACGTTGACGTCGGCGAGTCGGGGAAGCGAGGCTCGAGGTGACTTGGGGGGCAGCTCGCGCCGGATGGCTGACGCGGGAGTTGGCGCGCCCGAGCCCCGGGAGCGCTG